GGGGAGAACAGTGAGTGAACTCAGTGTTTGGTTCTGGTTCTGATATGATCTAGGTATTTAATGAGGAGGTCCTTAACATCTTTCATAACACCCTTTTTTTTAAAAAAAAAAACTTTAATTTGAAAGCTGGAGAGATGGCTCAGTGGTTAAGAGCACTGGCTACTCTTGCAGATGACCTGGGTTCAAATCCCAACACCCACATGGTAGCTAACAACTGTCCATAATTCCAGTTCCAGGAGATCCGACAGCCTCTTCTGACCTCCAAGGGCATTGCACGACATGGGTGCATTTACCTACATGCAGGCATAACACTCATACACATAAAATAAAAATAATAAATATTAAAAAACTTTAATTTGATGTGTATGAATGTTTTGTTAGTGTGTAAGTGTATCCCATGTATGTAAGTGTACCACATGAATGTAGTCCCAGTGGAGGCCAGAAGAGGGTGTCGGATCCCCTGGGACTGGACTTTGGCTATTAGTCACGATGTGGGAGCGGGGAACCAAACCCAGGTCCTTTGCAAGAGCAGCAGTGTTCTTAACTGCTGAGCCATCTCTCCAGAACTAGGTCTCTTTCTTTTTTTGAGATAGGATTTCACCATGTAGCACTGGCTAGTCTGGAACTTGCTTTGTAGAACAGGCTGACTTCAAACTCACAGACATCTGTCTGCCTCTGCCTCCCAAGTGCTGAGATTAAGGGCGTGTGCCAGCACAACCAGCCTTATCAAGTCCTTTTCTACAGGAAAGCTAGTTAAGAATAGTTTTCATGGTCTGGAGAGATGGCTCAGCAATTAAGAGCACTGGCTGCTCTTGCAGAGGACCTGGGTTTGGTTCCCAGTACCTGTATGGTGGCTAACAACCACCTGTTAACTCCAGTTCCAGGAGAGCTAATGCCCTCTTCTGGCCCCCATGGGCATTGCACACATGTTCAAGACACATGCAGGCAATACGCTCATACACATGAAACAAAAATAAATACATTTTAAAAAGAATAGTTT